CCAAAAAAAATCATGTTGATCGTCAATCGTGGGGGACCTTCTTCTATTTTCAAAGGTTCTGCATTATCACGATTGTGGCCATAGTTGTTTTTTGCCCGATCGCTTAAATATTCCCTGAGATGGCTGGTTTTCAACAATGTCGGCACCTCCTCACACAGATGCCAACAGTCCTCTGTCTGGTGACCATTGGTTCCATGATATTCACACCACAAACTAGGATCTTTGGCTAGGATTGGATCTCATTGGCTTCCGTGCTTCTTTAATGTTCCTCATAGCCGACACCAGCTCTACTACATTAACATTGAAGTTGTATTCGAAAAATCTGGTATAGGAAGGATCTCAAGAACCTGCTGTCTCCTTGTCCTGCAATGACCTATTATTCTAACCGCGATCAATTTTCCTATCGGTAGAGAATCTATCCGCCGATCGAAAACCTCTACCGCATCCTTCGGCCTGCTCATCAGGCAAAAACTGACCCCTTGAAGACTGTCGATTTGTGTCGAGATCATCCTTCAACTTCTCTTTATTCTTCTCCTGGTCTCGGCCCTTGGTTGACGCTGGAAACCGAGTTGTTCATCTTCAATTTTAATCTTTGGCTCATACCAGTTATGAATATCCGCCCATGTTGTTTCTTGGAACTCAAGCAAACTTTCTTTCAATTTTCGTGAAGTATCAGAACTTCTCAAATTCAACCCTTTAGTAAATGCTTCTGCGGCCCATTCGTCTGGTACAACCGGGAGCAACATCCTTTCTTTCTGGAATCGGGTCACAAACTTCCACAACAATTCCGACTGTCCTTGTGCAATGATGAATATGTTGGCCTTTCGAGCATGTACCTATCAAGCCCAGGCATGGGCCTTAATAAAAGAATCCACGAGCATCTCGAAGGAATCTATGGAATGCTCGGGCAAGAGTGAATACCATGTCAGGACCCCATTCGTGAGGGTTTCCCCAAATTTCTTCAAAAAAACTGACTCAATATCGTGCGGAGCCAAATCGTTTCCCTTCATCGCCATTGTATAGGTGGTGATATGCTCTTGATGATTTGAAGTCCCATCATACTTCGGCATATCCGACATTTTGAACCGCTTCAGGATCAACTCTATTGCTATGCTCGGTTTGAACGGTAGTTGCGTATACTTCTTTGAATCTGGTCCTTTCAATACTGGTGGTGCGCCCGGAATTTGATCCATTCGGGTGTTTATTTCCGTCGTGAACCTCATAAGTTCGGTTTTAAAAGGATCGTTCTCATTGTTGTTACCAAATCTGCTATTGTTCCCCCCGGCCCTGTCATAGCCGACTTCACCCCTCGGGTGTTATTATCGGCCCTCTGCTTTGTTTGATTTGCGGGAGCATCGAGAGGAATTGGACCTCATGGAAGAGAACTAATCTAGTTTCTGACTTTCAGGTTCTTGATTTAGAGCTAAAACCTTTTAATTTTTCTCATTTATAGGTAGACTAATAAAACTAACACAAAGAGAATCAGCACCCTCATCAAAGCTCGGCACAAATATAAGATTTTACATGATCATAATGCACTTCCACCTCAAGGTCGTGTCAATCTCTTGTTATCATCTGCTTGTTATAAGAAGATAACTTAAGGAGAAGTTATTTCAGTATTGGCCATTTTTGTTCATTAAATAGTAGCAACTTTAAAGAAGAAATAAGCAGCACCTAGTTCATCCTGCTAGTTTTCTTAAAGAAGAAGAAGAAGAAAGGGAGGAAACAAAAATTAAGAAGGAAAAAGAAGACGGTCAGCACGTTCTTGGAAAAGTTGATTGGGCAGGAGGGACAATATTGAAAAATTGAGGGGGAAAATCACGTGATGGACATGGTCTTTTGACGATGCTGTTAGTTTTTGTGATAAAATTTAATGGAATGATGATTCTTGCAACTTTTTAAATAGTATAAGGATGATTTTTGTTTACTAGGATAAGACAAGGATGTTTCCTTGGTTTGAGCCATAGTTTAAGGATGATTTTTGCCAACAATATGGGCGCCTAGCGAAAATATAATTAATCAATGAGAAAAAAAGAAGAAAAAGCAAAACAATGAGGAAGATACTAAATTAATATCAGGCTTTTCTACTTGCCAATTTTATTTCTTTTCGTACAGGCTTACGATAACCTAAACATAACAAATAAACGGTATTAATATTCCTGTTGAAAAGTTTGTTTTAAACGCAATTGTTTAAAATAACCTTATATCCATGTAAACCAGATGAGTTCACTATTTGTCAAGTGGTTTATATTGGACACTGAATATTGGTTTAATTATGACCAAGAACCATAAATTATTTAGAGACATATAGTACAAATTATTCCAAATATATAATTATCCTTGACTATTGAATAACGAATTCAGAAACTTGGAGAAGCAAATACATGCAATTTTAATGGAACATATGGGGTTTGTATCAGTTTAGCGTGTTTGGCCAAACTTCTTCAAAGACAAAAGTACTTTATTTGTTCAAAAAAATATATTTTTGTTCAAAGTTGAAGTATTTGGCCAAACTTTTAGAGAAAAAAATATTTTTTTCAAATTAATTAGTCAAGCATAAACTGTTTTATCAAAAGTACTTTTTTTGAAAAACACTTTTGAAAAGAAAAAAGCACATCTCAAAATAAGTCAATTTTTAAGCTTGGCCAAACATGCTATAATGTAGGCGATAATGTACTCCCTCCGGTCCACTTTAATTGATTTCTTGTCCTCTTCTTTGTAGTCCATAATATTTGATTTTTTCATATATCATGAATGAATTAACTTTCTTTTCCAAAGTTGCTCTTGGAGTAAAGAGCCTAGTAGTACTTGTTATATTTTTAATGAATAAATTAAGGTTAATATGATCAATTTCCTTATTAATTAATGCTAAAAGATAATTTTTTTAATATGTGTGAAAGCAACCAAAAAATCAATTAAAGTAGAATAGTGCCTAATTACCCTTGCACCTTTAATGTCGTTGGAAAAAAGGTATTTTATTGGAAAAAGGCAAAACACAAATAGATAGTCTATACTCCCTCCTGTTCACAATAAGTGATCAATTTACTTTTTATTTTGATAAAAAATAAGTGTTCATTTATATAATCAAGATAAAATTCAATTTATTTTTCCAAAATTATCCTTATGTATGTATCCTAAAAAGTCTTTTACTCTTCATATCAAATTATGCTGCAACATTTAATTGAGGGTAGTTTAGTCACACTAACTAATTTTATTTAGATTTTAGTATTTCTTTAATGGGTGTACCCAAAGCAAATTGATCACTTATTGTGGACCAGAAAGAGTATTTTAAATTTTGCATTTTAAAAAATTCCGAACACCCGAAACGGTTGTACACTAATCTGGGATGGGCAAGATGTTGTCAGCTAACTTCATGGGTAAGCACAATGATTAATTCTTTGACTATCAATATTTTATAGGAAAATTTTCATAAAGCACTATCTTTTAATAGTAATTAGTCATCTATAGATACCTACTACAACAAATTTGATTGTCAATGACGAATCATTTTGTTACTTAAAAGTCATATTTCATCACAAAAATTTTTTGCGACAAAAAATAATTTGTCAATCTTTCGTCCCGAAAACACCGTCACTAAAAGTATACAAAGGCAATTTTGTGGTTCGTCGCTAAATCAAGTTGTTAGTGACGAAATTCTTTTTCATCACCAAATGCCTAGTATCTGTGACGAATTTGTTTGTCAAAAAAAGTATAAAATATTTGCCGCTAATAACGTATTTTTTCATTTAAAAGATTATCAATGCCGACGAAACTACCTTGTCACTAAATATTTAGTTTAATTAGTGATGACGTTGATTGTCTCTAAAGTTATATGTATTTCGTAGTTAAATTAACGTTATTTCGTCACTAAAAACTACATTTTATGTACAAAAAATATTTCGTCCTCAAATATATAAATTAGTGACAACTTTGCTTTTACAAAAATAATTTACAATTTGTAGTTGAAAACTATTATGTCGTCGCCAATTTTTTTTTTTTTTACAATGCTAGTTAAAATTATCATGAACCGAAAATAGATAATTCTTGGACATGAAATATTTTTGTCACTAAATGTGGTCAATTTATGATGAACATTTGATGACGTCAAAATTCGTAGTGGTACTATGTATAATAATTTCCCATTAATTCAAGAATTTATCATTTACTAAATGAAAATAACATAATAAAACATGGAAGGTAACAACAAAATTCTCACCCATGATCACATAATTAAGAACTAGTACTATATTGAGATAATATCTCATTACAAACTCGTTAATATAAAACACAACATAATTAAAATTCATTCAACAACATGAGGTCAAATAGAAATACAATAATTTAGTAATAAACTAAGGAAAAAAAATATGTTGCTTCCTCAAACGCTAATGTAACCACTTGTCTTGTAACTTTGCTCTTGAATAAATTTGAACTTTCATGTACCTGTGGAAGAAAACAAATAATTTTAGTACATTTGATAACATAATTTAGCAAAAAACATATTTTCAAACATTAGTCATATCATATTTTAGTTTGTGAAGAAAATAATAGAACGACAAATTAGCACTGGCCGGTAGAAAGGTACTTAGTCAAAGTTAGACAGTAAATATTTAATTCTTCTTTGACTCCAAATAACCACAAGAATTAAGACAAAGAGATATGAAATTAAGATTAACTAATCTCTCAAAAATTAATGAATAATAGACAATTTTCTTCATACCTCTACAATAGAATTAAATTAATAAGAACCCACGAATACGTACACATAATATATTATCTGGAGAAACCCAAATTTTTATTGCCCTACAATTGAAAGAAAAAGATATTCCGTATGAGAGATGCAACAGAAAAAAATTGAAGTATAATTAATATTTTTTAACTTAGATTGAGGATTTGTACCAAAGCAAAGGAGGCGTCAGAAGAGGCTTTGCGTCTTAAAACGCCCATCACGCAAATTTGATCTTTTATGTTATTAAATCAACAAAAGAATTCGAAGAAAATTAAACAATACATAATACAAAGAATTTGTGTGTGTGAAAGAGAAAGAAATAATAAATTAATGGAGGTAGGTAATATAAATCTAAGTGGTGCAATAATTTGATTAGGGAGATGAATATCACAAAGTGTTGGGAGAGAAAAGAGGGAGAATTGAGAAATGGGGAGACGACAGTTCTTATTAAAAAGAGGGAATTGGGAACACAAAAAAGAGAAGGAGGGAAACTTGCCGCTATTTTTTTCGTACAATTTTGAAAAAAATGAAAACCGAAAGTTGACAAAAAACTAATCAATAATGAAAAAAATCCATATCAGTGTCAATATATTATTAAAAGAAGAGGAAAAAGCCTTCATATTAAGCCAAGTGATAATCTCACAATAGACCACTTAGCAATTTGGGACAAAATTAGGTTATGTAATAATTAATTTTTTAATTTAAATTATGCATTATGTGTTGTTAATAATTAGTTACTATCTTTGAGGTAATAAATTTTGAGTTTAAAAATCATTCTAAAATAAAAAAACGAAAGTAATAATAAGAAAAAAATCACCAATTCAAATTGAGGAATAGTTTCTTCCTAATATGGTAATCTATATCTATAAAATACTAAAAATATATTAGAAAATAGTTTTACATTGAATTTAAAGATCAAATATTATTTCAAATTTACAGATAGAAATATTTGAGTTGAGATAAAATAAAAGTTCATTTGCTTATGGCAAATATTAAAAAAATAATAATTATTAAAAATATCAGTAAATTTATGACAAAATAGTAAAATTACTTATCTTTCTATATTTTTACAAAATTCATAATTATAATTTAAATATGATAGTATTTAAATTATATGTAAAATTCAAAGTGAAAAAAACTAATTGTAATATTACAGTAGGAAAAGTGTACAAAGATGAAAATAGAGATAATATTAGGATATTTTAACTTTGAAATTAATTTATAAAAATAAAATAAATTAAATAAATAATACACAAAGATACTATTGATAAATTTAGAAAATTGACGTATTGTGAAAAAAACATTGGACGTTGAATTATTTTAAAATAAAAAACAAAAATTAAAAAATGTTAATTCTAATTGAGGAGTAGTTTCTTTCAAATAAAAAAAATAATATTGGATATTTAAAGTTTCATACTCAATAAACTCTTACTACAATTTTAAATAGAAACAATTATAATTTTTATTATTTTTTTTATTTGCACCGGGTGTCCGAGTCTCTTCGAGCCCCGACTATTCCCGGGGGTGCACAGGCCCTCGGAAAGGAGTTTCCCGCAAGTGCACCACGGTTAATTCAGGTTTTACCCAGTCCGATGACCCTCAGAAATTGTTTGCACCCAGTGGGTTTCGAACTTGAGACCTTGAAAGGGAGCAAACCCCAAGGTAATGCTGCTTTGTGGGCTGGGCCTGAACCGAACCGGACCGGGCCCGCGGTCCTAACGGGCCTAACGGTCCTGGTGGGCCTGAGAAGCCCGTGACGGACCGCTCTTCATAGATTAGCCCACGAGCCCGGGACCGTTTAGCCCGGGACCGTCAGCCAGGCCTGGGCCGGTCCTGGCTGGCCTAACGGGCCCAACAGATTTTTTTTTTAAAAATAAATTGTATACACATAACATACAAAATATATAAGGTAATATATACACCTAACATACAATATAT